CACGCGGTGGCTGTGCACGGGGTCGATGACGCCGCCCGTGGCGATCTGGGCCTCCAGCAGGCGGATGCCGTGCTCCCGGACGATGAGGCCTTTCTGCATGGCCTGGAAGAGGGAGATCTGCTGCCCGGTGTAGGGGTCGGTGTAGCCAGTGACGGCGCGCTCAGCCGACAGCAGCTTCGTGAACACATCGGGCCCAATGACACCAGCCCTCAGTGCCTCCTCAACGGAGTGCCCCTTGTTTGCTTTCGGGTCGATGATGAAGCCCGTGGCAGCTTGTGCCTCCAGAAGGATGAGGGCAGTGCCGGGCCGGAGGAGCCCCTTGCATCGGGCCTCATAGATGCTCAGGCGTTCCTGGGAGCCGGGGAGCAGCAGGCCAGCAATGCAGCCTGTACCCTGCAGGTACCTCTGCACCGAGGCCAGGCTGCCCACATCCTGGGCTGTGGCCTGTCCATGTTCCAGCCGCTCGTACAGGTCCTGGTCGATGATCTCGGCTTTCAGCAGCTCTCCTGGTGTCACGGTGTCCCTCAGCCCAGAAAAGGTGACCCTGGCAGTGGCTGCAGCCTGCTGGAGGGTGGCGCTCAGCTCAGCGGCCATCTTCTCCACGGAGAGGGCCCCTTCCTGGTGCTGCTGGGCCAGCATTGCCCTCTGCTCTGCGGGGATGGCCTCAGAGAAGAGCAGCTCCCAGAGGGACACGGGCCGGCCCCGGAACTTCCCCACGGAGATGGTGGTTGTAGCTGCATTCAGGGCCTGCCGAGTGTTGTACTTGATGAATGGGGGTCCCTGGGGCTCCCCTCCCCGGGGTCCCCCTGAGAGTGGCAGGAAGGCGAGCCCAGTCTCTGGGTCAGTGACACAGCGGGCCAGCAGCTGTTCATAGCGCAGGCCACCGTGCGTGCCAGGGTCTGAGAAGCCGCCAGCCTGCGAGAGCTGTCGCTGAGTGTCTTCATCCAGGCAGCCGCAGCGCAGGGCGGCCTCCAGGGGCAGCCGGAGCCTGCGTGCTGGACAGACCAGCCCGCCTGTGGCCAACTGGGCATCCAGGAGCCGCAGTGCCAGTGGCCTGTCCACTAGCCCCTTCTTCATGGCCTGGAAGAGGGGGATTTGGGAGCCACTGAAGGGGTCGTGGTACCCTGTCACGGCCTGCTCGGCCACCAGGAGCTGCTCGTGGAGCTCTGGGCTGACCAGGCCCGCCCTGACTGCCTCGTCTACCCACAGCCGCTGGCCTGTGGTGGGGTCCACTAGGGTGTGGGTGGCAGCCTGGGCCTCTAGGAGTGGCAGTGCAGTGCCCATTGGGAGCAGGTGCTCGGTAGCAGCCTGGAAGAAGCTCTTCTTTTGGCCTTCGGGCAGCAGGACAACCCCGGCCACGCTGCCGGTACCCTCCAGGTAGCGCCGCACCTCGGCACGTGCACTCACGTCCGCTGTGGCCAGCCTGCCCTCCTGCAGACCCCGCACAGCCTCCTCGTCCAGGATGCCCACCTCCAGCAGCTCGGCTGCACTCACTGCCCCGCCCTCAGAGTGGAAGGTGATCTTGAGGGGCAGCAGGGCTAGCCCCGAGCCGGCGGCCCGCACACACCTTTCCAGCAGCTGGTGGTACGTCAGCCGCTCCAGCGTGTTGGGGTCGAGGAAGCGCAGGACGCCTGTGCCAGGCTCAAGCTCTGACAGCTTGTGCCATGTCTCCCGGTCCAGGAGGCCCTGGTGGCAGGCTGGCTCAGGGGCCACAAGCATGCCCCGGGCAGGATCCACCAGGCCCCCAGTGGCCAGCTGGGCCTCCAGCCAGCTCTGCCCCAGGGCCGTGTCCACAACCTCCTTCCCGATGGCTTGAAAGAGGGCCAGCTTCTCACCCCCGTAGGGGTCAGGGTAGCCCGTAGCGGCACGCTCAGCCATCAGCAGCTTCTCCTTCAGCTCCAGCCCCACCAGGCCCTGCTGCAGGGCCTTGGACACAGAGAGCAGCTGGCCCTGGGTGGGATCCACCAGACCCCCGGTGGCCGCCTGGGCCTCTAGCAGAGCCAGCCCAAGCCCAGGAGGCAGAAGGCCCTGCTCCATGGCAGTGTAGACACTCTGGGCCTGGCCTGAGGCCTCCACATACACCCCAGCTATGCTCCTGGCCTGGGGCCTGGGGAGCGTGCTGGCTCCCAACGTGGCTGCCATGGCTTTGGGGACGCTGGCCTGCTCCGTGCTGTTGGTGCCTGGGACGGGAAGAGGAGGCAAGGTGTGGCCACTCATCACACACAGCTGGTTATGCAGAGCCTGCAGAGGTCCACCTCTGTCCTGCAGGGGACAGAAAGGCTCAATCAGGGACCCCCCATGGCCTGGTGGGCACAGGGGAAGATGTGGTCACAGGGCCAATCCCATGCTGTCCCGGGCTGGGCTCTGCCCGCAGACACGCAGCCAGAGTCCCCGAGGAGCTGAGTCTGCCCGGGGAGCACTCCGCGGTGGGAGTGCCAAGGGAAGTGCAAGCTCAGAGGGACCGTGTGAGCACAGGGGCCCAGGTGGAGCCGGGAGGCCTCTAGGGACTCCAGGGCTGTCCCTCCCACAGGCTGTCCTTCAACCTCCACCCCAGGCCAACGCCCTCCCGCCAGCCCAGGGCCCTGTGTCCTCGAGTCCTTCCTGGGCACCCTGGTCCCCTCCCCAACCCTGCCTGAGGGGCCCAGCCCTGCTCCAAGGGGGCTGTGGCTCCACCCACAGGGCCCGCCCCTCGGCCTGGGCACCAGCATCTCTCCGCCTCTGGGTGCCTCTCTTTTGTTCTCCAAAGGCTGTGCCCCATGCCCTGCCCCACCCCAGCTCCAGTGACCTCTTGAAACCTCCCACCCCACCTGCACCTGTCACTCCAGAGAAGCCTCTGCTGCCTCCTCCGGCTCCTGAGGCCCCGCCCTCCCTCCACAGCCATCCACCAGGCTCCAGCAAGACCCCAGCCATCTGAAGCTCTGGTCTCCTGCCTCAGCCTGGCCCTGCATCCTCCTCTGCCTGTCCTGGATCTCACATCCGCGAGCACCACGGCCTCTGGGCTACTGCCCCTCTGAGCCCACACCCTGCCCCAGGGACCGCTGGCTCAGCAGACGTGTGGCAGTCCTGCCAGGAGCCGTGTGCAGGCCAGGCAAGGCTCTCTCTCTCCCCCATGGGCCCTGGTCCTCCGGCTGCAGCCCCAACATGCCCTGTGCTGACCCCTTCCACGCACAGCTGTACGACTGGCTCTGAGCAGGGCAGCAGGTGCCTCACCTCCATCCCCCCAGTCCTGCACGTCAACTGCCTCCACCCAGGCCTGTCCCCTTCTGCACCAGGTTGAATTATGTTCCTTAAAAAGGTATGACTAGGCCGGGCACAGTGGCTCAAGCCTGTAATCCCGGCACTTTGGGAGGCCAAGACGGGCGGATCAAGAGGTCAGGAGATCGAGACCATCCTGGCTAACACGGTGAAACCCCATCTCTACTAAAAAAAAAATACAAAAAACTAGCCGGGCGAGGTGGCGGCGCCTGTAGTCCCAGCTACTAGGGAGGCTGAGGCAGGAGAATGGCGTAAACCCGGGAGGCGGAGCTTGCAGTGAGCTGAGATCCGGCCACCGCAAAAAAAAAAAAAAAAAAGGTATGTCTAAATCCTAATCTACAGTCCCCGTGAACATGACCTTATTTGGAAATAGGATCCTTGCAGGTGTCACCCGGTTAAGGTGAGGTCATACCAGGCTAGGATTGGCTCTTAGCCAACGTAACTAGTGTCCTTATAAGAAGACAGACACACAGGGAGAGGACAGCCTTGTGATGACAGAGGCAGAAATTGGATCTACAAGCCAAGGAATTCCCAGGACGCCTGGGGCCCCCGAAGCTGGAAGAGACAGGAAGGATCCACCCCTCAGCTCTGGAGGGAGTGCGGCCCTGCCCACTCCTCGCCTTCCGGCTTCTGGCCTCCAGAGCTGTGAGAGTCATTTCCTGCTCTTTAGGCCCCTGGCCAGTCTTCTGCACCCCTGTGCCCACCCACCCGAGAGCAGGGTCTGCTCCCCGTTTTCTTAGCACTACGGGCCCCAGTCCCTCTCTTGGTTCTCCCCCTCATTCCGGCTGGAACCTCCCTCTGCTCAGCAGCCTGTCCATGACAACCCTTCCCTACCTCTACACAAGGGTTTCAGGAGAAGGGCTAGACCCCACGTTTGACCCCCACTCCCACTCCACCGCTCTTGAGGCAGCCGCCATCCCCGGCTGCCGAACTCAACAAATGCACTTTGGAACTGGCCGCCACCCACCTCCACGACGCGGGCTATAGGGGCTCCCCTCTCCGGTGACGGTTCTGCTCCATCTTCGTTCCCCCATTAACTCTGAGACCTCCTCCCACCTATCCTCAGCTTCCCACATCTGCAGCAGGAGCTCAGCCTGTCCTGGGTCCCAAAACCATGTGCCCAGCTGCCTCCTGGAGGCCTCACAGGTACTCCATGCTGCTCGTGCTCTGTGAACATGCAGAGCCTAACCCTAGAAGGCACTGGGTCCTCCCCATCCCCTCTCCCCACATCTGGTCTCACGAAGGGCATGCTCCAGGGGCAACTCTGAGGGCTGTCGAGGCTTGGAGATGCCCTTCAGGGCCACCTGTTAAGACTGCAGCCCCCCTACCCACCTTGGTAAAACCCTGGCCCCCTCCCTTCCCTTCTGTAGATACTGGTCCTGGGCCTCTTCCGGGCATCCTGCCGCTGACGGGCTGCTCAGAGCCTCAGACACAGAGCCGGACCCGGAGGGCTCTCCATCACCCCGCTGGCCGAGTGCAGAGCCAGGGCTCCAGGAAGCAGCTCAGCTGTCCTGAGGGGCCATGCTCAGGACGCAGTGTCAGGTGGCTGAGAAGACGTGGAGGATGCAGAGGACCATGGAGTGGGGCCGCTGCTCAACGACCAGCATTGGAGAAAGCTCGCAAGAGGCTGCAGACGTCTGATCAGCTGGCCAGTGCGCCACAGGGATGCCCGGGCGCCTGTCTTCATGGTGCAACTAGCCATGGACCCGCTGGTCACATCACAATCTGCCCCAGCCAAAAGCTGCTGGCCTGACAGGATGTAGGAACAACTTCCTGAAGGCACAGCCGGAGTGCCAGCTCCCCAATGACGCCTTGCAGGCTAGGGCACCATTCCCCAGGAAGTCGGCTATACCACTCAAAAACATGGCTTCCCATGTGCGTGTTTCCCAGGAGGTGGGCCACAGGGGTCCAGGAACCAAGGCCTGGCAGCCACAGTGGCCCATCCACCATCACCCACTGATCCATGATGGAGCTTGGACTCCTCGACCCCACAGCTCTGGGGTGGGTAAGCTTAGATGTCCTGGTCCCTGGAGGAGGAACACTTCTGCCAGGGCACACAGCTAGTGTCACCAAGCCAAAGGCTATGCTGCTCCCGGACCACTCCAGCCCATCGTGTCCCAGGAGCAAGCAGCCAGGTCGAGGCTCCCATCTGGCAAGGGACAGGTCTGAGCACCAGGAGGCGGTGCCACAGGGGCAGGCAGGGTGCAGGGACCTGGTCTGCCCTGTCTGGTTCTCATAGTAAATAGAACATCATCCCCAGCCCTAGAGGGGACCCTCAGGGAAGAGGACCTGGTCACACCTGACAAGCCCTGAGCCAGCAGGCGCACCTGGGTTGAGGGCATCTGGTCTGGAGGACAGGGAGGTGGCCCCAGAGGCCAGGTCCACACTGCAAAACTTCTTTCTGCACTTCCCCAGGAAGAGCCAGGCTCAAGGGCACAGCCTGACTAGGGTGGCCACAGGGATTGTCCAGATCTGCTTCTGGGGGGTACATGAGATGGCAGGACAGGCCAGCTTCTCCTTTGTCCACCCTGCTTCCTCCTCCCTTCCCTTCTTGAGGCCATCCTGAGACCACGCCCGGTGACCCTGCCTCAGACAGACTCTGCTTCCGGGAACTCAGCCTGGGCGCTTTTTGCCCACCTGTACTGGCATTTGCCTCCCCTAGGGCTGGGCCCTCTCCAGCATGCCTCATTCCAGGACCCCCTGGGGTCTGTGAGCCCAGGGGAGCCACTCACTATGGCATCTACACCAGATGAGGGGCTTCTGGGGGGTCAGGGCCCTGCCCTGGCCCCTGACATCTGGCCGGGAATGGCAATGGGGAAATGAGCACCTGACTTCACAGCAAGGGGGAGGGGTAGTGCAGGCCAGGGCGGGGCAGGGCCAGCAGGGGTGGGGACAGCGCCTTGGGCGGGCCCCTGACCTGGGCACAGGCAGCCAGCCCAGACAGGCCATAAGCTCAGGCGAGTGGCTCAAGTTTCCCAAACAAACAGGAGATTCAGGGAGGAAGGCTGGAGACAGGGCGCTTGGCAGCAGGGAGTTGGGGGCCGGCGTGCCCTGCGTGTGTGAGTGCCTGCCAGTGCACGCCCACCCCGCACCATGTGTGAGATGCAGCCTGCGGCTGGCTGCACCACTCACTGTCTCTTCCTGACCTTGGGCCTGGTATGAGCCCCTCCCGGCCCTGCCCCTTCCCTGGGCCCTGTCCCCTCCCGGCCCTGCCCCTTCCCTGGGCCCTGTCCCCTCCCTGACTTGACAGGAGGAAGGCCCGCGAGTGGGTGTACTTGACTCCATGTGAGGCCTCGGGAGGGCAGCTGGACGGAGGGTTTGGATCGAGGGAGGGCAGGGGGCGCAGCTTCGAGTGTGGGGACATCTGGAGGAGGTGGCTGCCGCCCAGGTGAGCACAGGGTCAGGGTTAGGGTGATGGGGTGGGGAGGAAGCCGAGCAGATTTCCCCGGAGTCTGAGGCACAAAGGCCCCCGCCTGTGGATTCCCCACCTCAGGTGGCCCCCAGGCCCCAAGTGGTGGAGGGCCATTCCTGAGGAAGGTGGCTCTGCATCTCTTGGGCGAGGTCACTGTCACCAGACTGCCCAGCAGGCCCCCACCGCAGCCTGGGACAAGGGTCGGGAGGCTGCAGCCTCCTGCCTGAGCCGGGTCAGGATAGACCCTGGCAGCTGCCTGGGCCCACACAGGGAGCAGCAGCCTTAGCTTCTGCCGGATTGTGTGCCCTGGTGGAGAGACCCCGACCACCTGCACCCTGCACCCTGCACCACGGTCAGACATCAGTGGCCCCAATAACAAGCTTGGCACAGCGCAGTGGGGGCGGAGGGGCAGGGAAGCAGAGCCCCGGGCCCAAGTGACGGACAAGGCCTTCCTGCCTCTGCCTCCCACGGGTCTCCAGGTGACCCTGTGACTGCTTACCCGACTCGGAGTGGCCACCCCGGGGACCGCTCACCCAACAGCAGTCAGCTT